ACTTGGAACTCTAGAGTTTAATGCTATAAAAAAATAAAAGTCGGGTCACAATTATAATTGCTACAGCTTCTTTAGCAACGTCTACTTCATACGTATTAATGTATTAGTAGTTAAGTTTGGGCCTCGTTAAAAAAACAACCCACAGCCTTTAAAGTTATATAAACATGCTAAGAGACATTAAAGTTTTCTTCTTTTAAGATTTTCATGGTGAGAAAGTGGAGCTATTATAGTTGATTCCTGGTAAATTTTACAAAAGTGAAGAAACTCAGATCATTGGATCCAACGTGATCTGTTAACCATATTTCTATACTCTTAAAAGTTTTAGAGATTTTTTAACCATAGGGAAAGTATGTTTGTAAATCAAATTAATCTGTTTTTACAAAGGGGAACATTAAAGTCAGGAAGACCTCAACAGAGATCTGGCTTGTGCACAGACCTCAATCTTTGCACCTAAATATAGGCAGGTTTTGGAAACTCTGAGGCATGGTGTCCCTCATCCATAGGAAAGGTTTTTCCTTCTCCTTTCCATGCCCCAGCTAGTGACACTCATCCAAAATATATATGTAAATTAAAAACTCCTAAATCCTTATGCTGAAGCAACCCATTTTCTTTCAGACTGTAACTAATGAGGCTTGTGGCCCTCCTTCACTGGATGGCAGGAAGGAGGTAGAAAAGGAGAGAAGTGAGGCCCTGGCCGGTTTGGCTCAGTGGTTAGCACACCGGCCTGCAGAGAGAAAGGTCCTGGGTTCGATTCCAGCCAAAGGCATGTGCCTCCTTTGCAGGTTCAATCCCTGGCCCTGATCAGGACACCTGTGGGAGGCAACCAATCGATATGTCTCTCTCACATGGACATCTCTCTCTCCCCTTCCCTCCCTTCCCTCTCTCTGAAAAGAAATGGAAAAAATATCCTCAGGTGAGGATTAAAAAAAAAAAAAAAAAAAAAGGGAGAGAAGTAAGGCAGGGGCAGGGGGTAAGGGCATGGAGGGCGCACTCCTTAGAGCCGGCCCCCAGGGAGCTGCCACTCCGGGCCGCTGAAGCCATCCTCTTCGTCTGAGCACCGAAGGCTTCCTCGGGAGATGAAGACCTTCCCACCCCCACTGCTGTTTAAAAAATTTAGTGGACTTATTTTGGTATGACTTGAGGTTTACAGAAAAGCTGCAAAGATAGTACAGAATTTCTGAATACCCCTGACTGATATCACCATGGTACAGTTGTCACAACTGAGGAACTGCCGTGGGACACTACAGTTAACCAGACTCCAGCCTTTATCTGATGTCACCATTCTTCCTGTTATGGCCTTTCCTGCTCCAGGGTCCCACCCTGGTGGCACTCACTCATCCTACCTCCCCAGTCCCCTCTGGTCCATGGCAGTTTTTGTCTTTCCTTTTTTCCATGGCCTTAGCCACCTTAAAGGGCACTGGCCACCCACCAGGCTGATTAGGTCTTCTTTTTATCTCCCGAGTAGAGAGATATTCCCCAAGGACAGGCTGGGCTAGGAGGGCAGGGAGGGCCCCAGAGGCTGGATGTGTGGTTTTCTGCACACACAGGTGTGGAGAGATCCTGGAGGTCCAGACATTGTCTGTTTTGATCTACCCTGTTAAATTGCTAAGTCAACACCAGCACCTCAACAAACTCACTAACCGGCTCCTGTGGCCCTGGGAGCCATCAGTCTGCAGAACGGGGTTCCAAACTCATCACAGGAAACTCTCATAACTGTCGTTGGTCTCATCACTTTCAGCCAAAGCGTCATCTGTCTTGTCCAACCCCCAGAGGCTTTAACCGTTAACTAAAGCATGCACACGTGTGGATTGTGTATGCTTGTATGTGCACAGACAAGCACACCATCCCTGCATTTATTTCTCTCTCGAAGGTGTGTGCACTTGCGGGCAGTGTCCGAAGCAGCCGCAGCGCCACCGTGCGTTCCGCCCCGAGTTAAGGATCATGTCCGGTGCTTCCCAGCCTCTGGCAGCGGGCGGCCGCACAGATCAGGCTCATAAGGAGCCACTGTTCTCAGATGGCCAGAGCCTCATTAGTGCTCAGTGACCTGGAACACCACCAGACAGCCCTGCGCTTGGCCGGAGGGAGAGCCTGCGCTGGCCCTGTGTGTGCCCTGCCTGGGCCCGGGAGAGGCTTCTGGGGGAGGCTGTGTGCTGGCCGTGTGCACGCTCCCCCACACCCAGCGCGGGGAGTCTGCACTGCCACAGTAGAGTCTGTGAACACACTTGCTATCCCGACAGCAGGTTCTGTCCTCTGGCTTAAAGGGGGGGAAAACCTGAAGCATTCCCCCTGTTCACAATGCCTGCATTTAGGACACGGGGCTGTTTTGGGGGCTGCCTGCCTGGGTCTCGCGAAAAGTCATGCGCTCTCTCCCCGCAGAGCTGGAGAAGGAGCTGCCCCGGAGGCCCAGGAAGGTCTGCATCGTGAAGATGGTGGGAACCCGCAACCTGTGGAAAAACATCGTGGTCCTGTGTGTGAACTCGTGAGTCACGGGGGACACACCTGAGGCCCAGGCAGGGAGGGGCTGGAAACTCTCCTCCCCAGCTGGACTTTGAACTATGGCCCCGCCGGGCCCTCTGGCCTGCCCTGGCTCCACTCTTTGCTAAGGGGCCCCAGCTAGGTCTGATAAGCCTGTCAGAGCTTCCTGACAGTGGTTGGAAGGTTACAACTGCTGGAGGTCATGGACCCCACCCCTAGCCACGGGCAGCTAGAGCCCCTGCTGGCCACCCCAGCCCAGCAGGCCCGGCTTGTTACCCTTCTTGCTGCCCAGGCAGGGGCCCTGGCTGGTCCACACAGACGTGCGTCAGAGAGTAGGCCAGGCTGGTCCTTCGGCTCCCCATGGCGGTTTCCATCAAAGTGGCTCCATTTAATCAGTACTCGATATTGGGGTTCCTGATTAAATTTGAGGAAGTATACAAAAGGTGCTACTACCAAAGCTATGGGAGAGCTCAGGTCTTACTTACACCCTGTCCTACAGACTGGAGACCAAGGCCCAGGCACAGGGATAACCAGCTATGTCCACCTGGCTGATCAGGGCCCAAGACCTCAGGCCTTAGCCTCCAGGCCCAGAGTTGGCACTGGCACAGCCACCACCCTACTGTCCAGTCTTGGGCAGATGCTGGCTAGACCAGTAGGACCATTAAGAATGGAGCGACTTCTCCAAGTTGTATTATGGAAAAAATACAAAATGTGACGAAGACAAGGTGACATTTTGGTGATTTTTGCTGGGGGTGTCTGTCTCTCTTTGTGGTCAGAGGACTTCCTCTCCACCCCAACAAAAGGGTGGAGACTTTCCTGTGCCCTCGGTAAGCCGGGAAGGAGAAGCAGGCATTTGGGACCCAGAGGTGGACTGAAGCTCAGTTGCTAGATGACAAAAGGATGGCACAGGGAGCCGGGCCCTCTACCGAGTGTTTCCCACATGGATGCCCATGTGTTTGGCGTGTGTTTGGCGCTGGTGGCCTCCTGCTGCAGGGGTGGGGCCTGCTGCCCTTGGCTGGTGCATCCTCCGGGTGATGGGAGAGCATGGGGAGTGGGAGGAGAAGGGGCGTGTTAGCTCGGATGCTGAGTGCAGACATAGCAGGGGGGCCCCTCAGGTGCAGGCATTTTACCACATCCAAAGGGCCTTCAGAGCCCTGGGAACAGCCTGCACATCGTGGACCCTGCTGTAGCATCCTGGGTGTGCAGAGATGCATATTTATCCCTGTTCCCAGGGCGGACATCTGTCTGCAGCAGCCGGGACACTCATTTCCAGCAGGTTTCTGTGATCCTATGAGGCAGTTAGAAGCCTGACCCCGGGCAGTGGAGGGAAACAGGTAACTTAAGAATTGAGATGAAGTCCCAAGACCATTCCTACTGGCCTCTTCAGGGTGCCTTTGACAAGTAGGCAGAATGAGCTGAATAGATAGTTCTCTGGACAGATTTCTAAGCCCCCAGGATCCCGAGCGCTGAAGGAAGAGGCAGACACAGGCAGTGTGTCTCTGAGGTTGTCACTCGCCAGCTGCATAACCTGTGCCAGTGGAGGACCCCCCAGCCCATGTGTCCTTCTGTGCAGTGGGTCTGGCAGTGGCTCCTATGGCGCCAACGTGGAACTGAAGGAGCTGACACCTGGGAGCACCCTGCACACATGCTGGGTTCCCGTGGAAGTTGCTGTCTGAACACGAGGTCCCGCTGCTTTTATGCTCACAGTCTCCTGAAATGGGGGCTGGGAGTGGATGTGTGCCCAGCGAGAGCCCCTCCCCTGGAGTCTTCCATCGCTGTGGCTCTCCTGCAATGGCAGGCATTGGATTACATACGGAGCCGATTATACGTTTCCTGGTTGGTGGACAGTGACCTCTGAGGGTGTGGCGTTGTCCCTGGTGTCCCCGCACACCTGCCCACAGCCTCTCGGTGTCTCCCACAGGCTGACAGGGTACGGAATCCACCACTGCTTCGCCAGGAGCATGATGGGCCATGAGGTGAAGGTGCCACTGCTGGATAACTTCTACGCTGACTACTACACCATGGCCAGCATCGCCCTGGCCTCCTGCCTGGCCATGTGCGTGGTGGTCAGGTTCCTGGGGCGCCGGGGAGGGTTGCTGCTCTTCATGATCCTCACTGCCCTGGCCTCCCTCCTGCAGCTCGGGCTCCTCAACTGTGAGTGGGGCCAGGGGAGCAGGATGGCTGTGGGGTGGGAAGGGTGGAGGGGGCCGGTGTACACGAAGGGTATTTGAAAGGGCCAGGGTGGACTTGGGAATGGTTTTCAGTGGCCTGGTATTCCAAACTCAACAGCTTGCAGAGCTGGTTTGGCAGGGACAGCTCTGTTTGAAATGTGAAAGGCTTTCCTCCCCTCCCCCACCCAACTCTGGGCTCCCACTCAGAGCCTCCTGACTGACGGTGATGGACCCGGCTGCACTAGTGGCCAGATTGTCTCTCTGGGACACATCACATGACCAAGAAGAACTGAGGACTTGTTTAAGTTTTACTGTGAAATTAAGGAGAAATAAATGTTGACACTTTTGCACCGGGACACTGCCTTTCAGTAGACGTTCCCAAGTTCTTCAGGTTGTCTTTGGGCCAAAGAATTTCTCAGTAAATGTTTAAAATAATTTAAAGGAGAGCTAGGGAACCCATGCAGCCCCTCCAGCTATAAGCAGGCAAGCTCAGAACAGCTCTGAGCAAACACCCCCTCCATGTGTGGAAGGAGCCGCAGGCGTCTCTCTGACGTGCCCCAGGGTGAGACCTGTGTGAGCGGGGCCACTGAGCCCTCCTCACCCGGGCATGGTCCTCTCGGGACGGCTCGGGCGCTGCGGGGACACATGCCGTGAGGAAAGCAGCCCCAGGGGGGTCTGGGCCTGGGGACTATCCAGTGCACCATAGGTCAGAGCCTCTGGTGTTTCAGGTGTGCGTGACGTGGCTGAACGGACCCTTCCGCTCAGGGTCCAGAACGGAAGGCAAAGGAAAAGCCTCACGACCTCCTCAGCCTCGTGCACAAACTGGATCATGGAAAAGCTGGTTCCAACCTCAGGAGCCGAGTTTCTCCTGGCAGGGCCTCACGCAGCCTGCATCTCTCTGGGGGCTGGTCTCTGTTGCAGCTGTGACTGACGGGACCAGATAAGTGCGTCTGTGTCTCCCGACCATCCTGTCCCTGGTGAGGCCACCCAGCTTCCCCCTGGGGGCCTCTGTGAGTGGACGCTCCCGGGGAGGTGTAGGAGCGGCAGCCCCGGGGCGCCAGGGCGCTCATTCCCCGCTGGAGCATCATGCAAAGGACGGTGGTGCGAGGACCAGAGCGAGCGGCATAAACGCGGCCGGTCGGCCCCAGGCTGAGGCTCGCTGAGCACAGCCAGCTGCAAATATTCAGACACAGTGAGATTAACACCTGCGCTTGAGGTCGGGAGCTGTGCCGAGTCTCAGTCCTGAAGAGCTGTTTCCTCCCCAGGAGCGGAGGCCAGTGGGCTGTAGCCAGCCCTTCCGCACACAGTTCTGTTTAGTTGAGCGCTAACTCCAGTGCCCTGGGGCTGTCCCCACAGCTCCTCTCCATGTCTCTGGCCCTGGCCCCAGACCTGGCAGGGTGCTCGCGGCAGACCGGCCACATGGAAACACAGGGGTCACTTCCCACCTCACATGCTCTTTCCCTCTTTTCCCCCTTTTCCCCCCTCCGTGTGGCACCGGCACCTCTGCGGCCCAGTGATCGGGAAATACAGCCAGCACCCGGACTCAGGTGAGCCCCGACCCTGTGCCTGCGCGCCCGCACCTCTGTACTGCGCCCCAGCAGTGGTTTCCCAGACACTCACACCTGTGCTCTCCCTCTCCTGTCTCTCCTCCCTCACCCTCCAAGAGTTGCAGCTGAACTTGGCCGTAGGTTGGACACTATAAGCATACGTCTGTCTGTCTTCTTTACACTCTGCCTCTAGAAAACTGCTCACTCCCCTGCTTGGCCAGCTTGCACGCACGCCCTTGCCTTCCCCTGGCACCCGCACCGGCAGCCAGCACAGGCCCTCAGCTGCCACCCACGCAGAGATGCAGTGTGCCTTAGGGACAGTGCCTGGGCGAGACCAGGAAGCCTAGAGGCGGGAGGCCTGGCTGTCCGAGCTGCCAGGGAAGGCTGCCGCCCCTTGTGAATGAACCACGCAAGCCCGCTGCTCTCCACCGGGGGACAGCAGAGCCATCGCCCTGCACCCAGGGCTGCTGGTCACTCGTGCTGGCCTGACCAGAGCCCGGGCCACTGGGGCCTCCACAGTGAGAGCCCTGAGGGCCCATGCAGCCTTGCGGGGAACCGAGCTGTGCTCCAAATGTCTGAGCCCCAGTGACACGCTACTGCTCCTCGCTAGATGCCACCCTGCTGTGAGGTCTGACTCTGGTGCCATTCGCAAGATGCTTGGTGTGGTGGAGCCCTTTCCCTCCAGGCCCCAAAATTCTCTGTTTGGGTTGAGTTTTTGTTCCCCTAAATCAAGCCTGAGATACCCTGTCCTGGTATTGGACTGGGTGAGGCCTGAATAGCGGGGCTCTCTGAGGGCAGGAACCTTTCTCTGGAGCCACATGGAGGGCTGGGCAGGATAGACGTTGCTATAGCCCCTGAGACCACCAGCCTGCCTTCCTGCCAGGCCGGCTCGGGGCCTAAGGAGTCCAGCAGTCATGTGTGCTCAGCACTCAGGACCCACAGGGATCTGCAGGACCCTAGCGGAGTCTACTGCCCAGAGGGTCTGGCCTCTGCCTCTGGGTACTCCTCCGTCTGCAGAGGACCGAGCGCCCTGCGGCCCCTCAGCTGGACAGTGGGGCGGAGGGAAGACCCTTCGCATGTTCCCCAGCCCCTCCCGCCCTCTCCCCCTGCTCCCACCCTGGCCTTACTAGCACCCTTTCCCTCCCTCCCACGCCCCCTCACCGCCCCTTCTGATGTCCTTCAGGTATGAGCGACAGCGTCAAGGACAAATTCTCCATCGCGTTCTCCATCGTGGGCATGTTTGCCTCCCACGCGGTGGGAAGCCTCAGTGTGTTCTTCTGTGCGGAGGTCACCCCCACGGTGATACGGTGAGTCACGGGGGACACCCTGCAGCACGTGTTCCGGGACCTGGGAGGCTGCCGTTCAGCAAGGCTCCGGTGAATTAACCACTGGCTTTGGCCTGCCCTGGCCTTGGGCAACTGGGACTCCTGTGCTGCGCCTGTGAGCGTCAAGACAGGGCTCCACCCTGACCCTGGGCTCTGCCAGGCAGTAGTCAGAGGAACAGGGAGCAGGGAACTTTTCAGGGTACAGGAAACATGGCAATGACTAGAAAAGGAGAGAAATCAGCAGGTAACTGACACCCATACATCAACTGAAACCAAATGGCACCAGCTCCTCTGAGACCCCAGTGAAAAAACCTATTTCAAAATGAAAAAGGGAAGTAAAGTAGGCCTTCATTTTTACTGGCCTGAGAAGTTGATGTCACTAGTCCAGAGACAGGCCTCAGAGAGAGAAAGCCCAGCAAGCTGCGTCACTGATTGACTGACGCAGCATCTAGTGCAGGCCCGGGGACGTGCCAGGCAGTGGCCGAGGGAGCCGGACAAGCGCAGCCCTGGCGGAGCTGAGATCATTTCATCATTTCCTGAGGGTGGTGTCCCTGTGCTCAGCTCATTTTGTTTGATTTGTGGAGGGAGGTTTGGTCGTTCCCGGGGCGATCCCTGGGTAGTGTGTGGGGGCGGGGTGGGTGATACACACCGTCTGATGTTACTGAGTTCATGGCATAACCAAGGGGTTTGCCTTTATTTAAAAGGGCACCACTGCACTGCAAAGTCATAGGTTTTCCTGGCAATGACTGTGTGTGACTGTGAAAGAGCTCATCTTGGTTTACTTTGAACTTCATATGGGAATATCATTAGCATTTCCAGCGCATGCTCTTTTCAAATATAAACTGTGAATGTGGGTAGTTATTCACCGGGAGATAAAGCCCAGAGGTCAGCGTGACGACACCCTTTCCAGCCACACTTTCCCACACGGGGAACTAGTGGAGGCCAATAGAGCTGCAGGGGATTTGTGCAGACTCATTGTTTTGGCCCCAGGGTACTGGGAAGGACTCCGGGAGGAGGCAGGTAGGTCCATGGACTCTCCTTCCCACATCCCAGGAGTCATGCTGACAACAGAATTTCCACATGACCTCATTCTGATTCACCCTTCTGGGTTTTACTGTGTGTGCCAAGCCCGAAGGCTGCTTCGTACCTGGGGATAAATTGCCAAGGAATCGTATATTTAAGAAGAGAGCAATTAAATGCCACGTAATTCATCCTGTCCAACCCTCTCCTTAGCAAAGCGAAGAGCTGGGCCTAAGCTTCTTGTATGTGGTGTTGGAAGCTGCAGGACACCTGAGGCAGACAGCAGCCCCTTGACTTCTCTACCTGGTACAGCTCCTCCCTTTACGAGACTCCAGAGAGAGGGTTCTCAGGACAGCAAGAGTCAGCTTTCTGCTGGCCTCTCAGCCTCTGCGTAGTTGTGGATACTTCCCTGGGCCCCTCCACTGTAGTAGTGGGTAAACTTCACTGTTCACCATGAGGTTTTGCTTAAGAAGCCAAGCTGAAGGAAATGTGAGGCAAACCTGGAAAGATGATCTGGAGATAGAAACTCAACAGATACGTTGTCAGACTGAGCTCGCCAAGATGACAAACTAGAAAAACCGTGGCCCTTGGTGATGTTTTTGCCCCTGCAGAAAATTAAAGAGAATTCAGCCCAAAGGGGGTCCAGTCCCCTGGCCAGGATGGAAGGCTTCCTGGTGTTACTGTGACACCACCCCTCACCCCCCTTGGCTCCCTTTCCTTCAGAGGGCTGTCCTCTTATACACACACCCAGGGACAGTTCCCACGGGCCCCCATGACCCAAGTGGCTTTCTTATCCCTGCCCCCTGCATGCAGTTAAATCCAGGGTAAGCCACGATAGGCGGCCTGTGGCCTGGAAGCTGCATTTTTCTTAGTACAAAACTAGCCTTTTTCTACAGCACTGTATTGAAAACATCTGAAGGACAGTGCAGGTTCAGCTGCCAGGACTGACTGTTGGCAAATGCAAAGATAGGCACCTTTCTGCACAAAACATGCAGAGTTCCGTTGTCCAAGAAGGACAGTGACAGGCCAGTGCTGATTAATCAGTTCATCCTGGTCCCTGAGATCCCACCAAACTTCCCAGTCTGGCTTCAGAGCTGCCTCCTTCCCGCCTGGGCATTAGCGTGTCAGCCGGTTCTTCCCAGGTTCCTTCCCAAGTCCCTTTCCAGGCTTTTTAGTTCGGAGACGCAGGAGGCTTTGGAAGGACCCGTGTCTGCGGCACTTTCTCCCCTTTGGCTCAGGCAGAAGTGGCCGGGGTCTTGGCTGATCCGGAAGCAGTGGCTTTTTGTGGCAGCTCATCCTTTCTAGGCAACGTCCACAGGCAGCTGCAGGCCGGAGCCCACAGACCGCGCTGTCTCCGGTCCCCTTGCAGAGGGCCGGGGAGAGGAGGCAGGTGCTGGCGAGGGCGGCAGGCTCCCTCTGTTTCCCCATGGTCCCCACGGCCTCCACGCTGAGCTGGCTGTGGATCCCCTGCTCTGTCCGAGTCCATCGCTGCCTCCTGGTGTCTCCTGCTCTGCTCCCCTCAGGCCGCCCCACCACCTCCTTCTAGGAGCTTTTCCCCAACCTTGCCATATCTGACACCTTCACCCTGACTGGGCCCTCCCTGCCGCCCCCACCTCAGGACTAGACCCCAGACCTTGAGGTCTGGGCTCTAAAGTTGCCTCAGGAGCCTGGGATAAAGATAGCCTCTGTGTAATGTGACAACCTGGAGTCTGGTTAACTTCTTTTAAAATGTGTGTCTTAAAATATATACACAACATTTATAACAAATGCTCAGTGGGTGATCAGAAGCCAAGGAGACAGGCATGCACATTAGAAGTGAAACGGCAGGACCTGGGACAACCAGAGCGCAGAGGATGCCCGAGCCTAGATCTGGGTCCTCGGCACAGAGGGAGGAATGGCGTGGGCAGAGTGTCACCCCAGAAGCCACTTGTCCCTGCTCGGCCTGGGTGCAGCCTTCAGCCAGCGTCCACCTCTGGGCCCTAACGTGGAATGACCTGTGGCCGGTGGCGCTGGGGGAGCAGTGAATATAGGTAAAGGGTCCGGCCTCGCCAATGAAAGTTGATCTGGACAGTTACTCAACACATGGGCAAAGCTTGTGCGCCTCTGCATTGGTGCTGAGCTCAGAATCCATTTTTCCCCTTTGACCTGTGTGCTAATGATAATAGTCATGATAGTAATACTTATTCTTTGGGGTTTTCTCTATAGTCCAACTGTTTATAATTACTGAACATGTATAGCTGTCAATACTCTTTAAAAAAGAAAATTGATATTATTAGTCCTCAGTATTTTGGGCAGTTATATTTATTTCTGTAAAAGTGACACAAATATGAGCTCATCCTTGACTTCGTGGAAGCCTGGTAATGACAAGCTAAGTAACACCAAAGAGGGCGTGAAAATAGGAGGTGTCTCTGGGATTCACGTTTAACAGAATGATTTGGAGATTCTGGAACTCTTAATTCATTTACTGCTTCCGGTAAGTCTCCCTGTGTATGGGTCTTTCCGTCCTTAGAGCAGTTTAGGTAGTGTTGCTGGTGACATACAGAATCCCCTGGAAAGACCTGTGCGCCTCAAGCACAGCGCTTACCGTGTAAACGGAGGGGCTGGCTCTCTGTTGAATACGGGCATATGCTGCCCTCTAGTGACAACCCAGAGGAGAGCGGGAAGGTGCGCGAACCATGTGTGGGAAGGGAAACTATGGCCTTAAAACCAAGCATGTAATGATCCCGTTCTCTAAACTGAAATTTCAAAAAGAAAACACAATGCCAAAAATGACATACCAAATTCTGCCAAAATATTTTTTAATCTTACTGAATAATTTTAAGGTATCTTTGATGGAAAACCAAACAGAAAATAGAGAAAAAATATATAGACATATTGCACATTATATACACGTGTACATACATGTGCATGTGTATATAGTATATGTGTATATAGGTAATTTTTTAATGATCCACCTAATCCTACCAAAAACCAAATATATTTCATTTCATTGGACATGACTAATTACACAGTGTACTAGTGTGATGGAGTCGGTTTGGCAGGATGAGGGGAGACTTCTGCCTGGTGCTGAGCTCTGCTCCTTTAGCGTGCATCCGTGCTCGGCCTTCCTCGTGCACTCTGCCTTCCTGCGCATCAGCCCACGCGTGGTCTTTATGCGCTGAGCTGTTTGTCAGTGGCATTCACTCTTAGCAACAAGGTCAGGTGGAAACCCAGGAGGTTTCAAGGAAAATGATGTCTTATTGGTATCAAAGGCTCCAAGGAAACACTTCCGTTTTCTCTAGTGTCCAGTATGTCACTTGCAATGTCCTGTGGCTCCCCGAAGTGACCAGAATGATCAAAAAGACTCAGTGGCTGCTTTATCCGTCATCTTACAGATGGAGCCAACCACATTGCTCGGTCCAGTGGTCATCTGTATTTAACCTGCCCTGTTCATTTGGGTGAGCTGACCTCCCTACCTAGGAAGCCAGTATAATCCACAAACATCCAACATTTATTAAGCATAAACAGTGTGTTTCAGTTGATGTTCTAGGAAATACTCCTTGACTGTGAAGGGTTCATAAATGAGGATGGTAAGCAGATGAACCAATACCAACAGAAAGGTTCAGTGTCTTTATTTTTTTAATGTTTTTATTGAATTTAGAGAGAGGAAGAGAAATAAACATCAGTGATGAGAGAGTCATGGATCGGCTGCCTCCTGCATGCCCCCTACTGGGGACCGAGCCTGAAACCCAGGCATGTGCCCTGACCAGGAATTGAACTGTAACCTCCAGGTTCATGGGTGGACACTCAACCACTGAGCCACACTGGCTGAGCAGGTTCAGTGTCTTTAAAAGGTTGTCCGGGACCCTCTGCCTGGGAAGGGGTTAGTATCTGGGGGACACTCCCCAAAATACTGCTGTTCCTCATTTGTGTCCCTTGATGGCTCAGTAGCAGTGCTGTGACTGTCCCTCTAGCACTTTCAG